GCTACCATGCTCATGAGTCAACCATGGTGTCTCTTCCAAAAATAGCAAAGCGCTCTATGCTGCACTGCTGTTCCGGCCCCCTCACCTTGGTCAATTCTCATATCAGCGTTAAACGGGCCGCATTCTGAAAGAAGTTGCCGGTCGCAGTAAAGGATTGCCGAGGGGGACCAGATGTACATTAAAGATGGCTGATGGATCTACATTAAAGATGGCTGATGAGTAGCTATTCCCAACTTCTCTTTCTGACAGTTTGGTTTAACGCACACTACTGCGCGCAGGGTCGAACCTATAGTGCTGACCACTGACAGGATTTCTGTGCTGCTTACTAACACTTGGCCTAAGTCCCCCCCCTTTGGGCTACGGTATATTTCACCCCATTTCTCCTTTTAATGAACAAAGGCCAATGTCTGGTGCTTAACACAGTTCTAAAAACACACATTATTCGCTGGAAATAGGACGCTCAACGGTCGAAAGGGATTCAATGGGAACACCATCCAAACCTCAGTGGAACTTGTCTGCTGATGGCTCTTGCATTCCTAACTGACAATATATTTAGACTTTCACCTTTGGGTGAAATCCAAGAGTTTAGCGGTCAAATCAATTTGAATAAATCGCTGAGGAATAGAAACATCTTGGATCATTGAAGGCAGTTGGCACGATAAATCGCTATACAGATGTAGGATTTATACGACTGGCTTAACAGAATTCCGTGACCTCGGACAGGCGCTCCGTGGCGCCTTTTCCAAGGAGGGTACCTCTATAACGCCCTATTGAGCAACAACTTCACGTCAGCAGTCCGGCTACGATTGGAGGTGACTTCATATTTTGGCGTACGTGACGGTGATGGATGAGGACTTCATATTTTGGCGTACGTGACGGTGATGGATGAGAGTCTGCTCCTGCTTATCGAGGAACATCTTGGGTATCTTCCGCCCTGGTACTCGTATCCACGTCCTCTGTCTGGGCTGCGAAAACTTTGCTGATATGTGACTCGGTCGAAATGTCTTTTTTTGGCCCCCCCTAGGTTGGAAGGAAAGTCCTGTCAGTGTTTTTTGAAAAGCTTACAGTTTTTGATTCTCGATGCTCGTACATGACGTAACATGCTATGCTTGTAGGACACTCTGGGAGCTTTCCTGCAAGAGGCGTGTGAGGGCGCCTGCTCTTCCCTGGGTTTAATTACGATGTCAGTTTCACAGGAGTATCTTCGGGTCATCATCTTCTATCAGTGGCCCCGCGGCACTGGAGCCACGGCAGCTGTCCGTAACATCAGCAGTGCATTGAGGGAGGACACCACTACCATCAGGACCGTCCACCTTTGGTTCGCTCGCTTCGCGAAAAGAGACACGATCCTCGAAGGCAAACCTTGGTTGGGGGGCCCCAAAAAGTTCCACCATTCTCGAAGAAGACAAGGGGGATCCAGAGCCTTTCACCCGCAGTCTTGCGGGAAGACTCGGATGTACCCGTAGTCGTCCACCGCCTGTAAGCCTTTGACTACCAAGAAGTACTGGCTTGATGGATCATTCATACCTTGACCGATGGCACGCTGTGCACCCGGGTACCCCTTGCTTAGTCTCCCCTTCTCTGCCCTCGTCAGAAGGAGTTTCCGGGAGACTGCTTAGTGGGGATGAGAGATGGGTCCTCTATGATTTCAACCCACACAGTACCGTTTGTCTCTCTCAAGGAGAAGATCCATTCTAGCAGTCCAAACCGGGCATGTATTCCGAAAAGGTTCTCCTGTGCTGCTCTGGGACGCGAGGAGGTGCTGCTGAACGAGCTGCCCCATAAGAACAGACGGTCACCGCCACCATTTGTGTCGCTCAGCTCCCGAAACGAGTGAAAATTGTTGGAGAAAAATGACCGAGACTAGCTTCGGGTCACCTCGTTCGTAGTACACGAGACCCCATACCTGCTATGAAGACCTACCAAATAATTGAGGAGCAAGGCTGGAAGACCAGTCCCCGCTCATAATATTCTCCTGACGTAGTCCCCTACGACTGCTACCTGCTCCGCCTCCTTAAGGCTTTCTTAGCTAAGAAAACTTTCAGCAATCTCGGTGACATCATCGAAGGGACTGATGTCACCGAGATTGCTAGTGGCTAACTATGACGAGTATATTATTGACTAATTCCCACTGTACACTGAGTTTAGAAAATTTAGAAAATAAAAAGAGAAAAAAGTTACAACAGTGACAAGGTTTTCCTTCTAACCTATATATAGTGGGATATTTTTTTCCAAAAAAGCTCTGTAACCATTCGGCACATTGTGTGCATTCTAGCTCTCCTCAGGGAAGAGCGCTTGACGAAGGCAGACCGGCCTGGCGAAGCCGCGCCATGACATAAAAGGAGAAGCGCCAGGACCGGCGATCCGACAGGTTATTCTATCATCTACAGCCTATCACCATTCAGTGAGTGAGTTGGATAATAATGAAATAGCCATCTCACAGTAATCGTCGCGATCCCATGAATCTCCTCCACTCGATGTAACGTAAAATTCACAGGTAGGCATTCAATGCAGGTAACAGAAACGTAATGCATTCATTCATTGAAGCTGCTCATATTGACCGAATCGCTATAGATAGAGGAACCCAACGGATTTTGTACTCCAGAATGCACGCTTACGTTGGATGATGGGCGGCAGTTTGGGTCATTACCCATTACCTAAAAGAACACTTACCAATTAGCGCCTGCCTTTCTGTTACCATCCAATCCATTCGTATCAATCAACAATCGGCACGCGGGCTCGTGCCGGCGCCTGTCTTCTGGGTGACCCAGCCTCGCCGCACTCTCCTTCTTTTGCATGTTTGATTACCAAACCAACACCCGGCCTTTATTATATTGCATCTGTACTCTTGGCCAACACTCCTCGAGGAAAAACGTCATATCTGTTATTTTCGACACTGTTACCGTGTAGGGAATGGCGGTAAGGAGCGTCAATAAAGTGCACAGATGAGAGGATAAGCCGGATTTCAGCTGAACATTCAAGCACACGAGAGGATTCCACACTCGGACAAGTTCAATCGTTTCACAGGAGACGAGCCGGCGAGCCGACTGGTATCATGTGCGCATACAGCGATCGCTGATTGGGAGTATGGCTGCTAGTGCTACTGACTGCCACTTATACGTAGTGAATACGTATCTCGTGCCTAAGGGCAAGCGCCGCCCACTGTTGGCGGTTCTCATTTCATCAAAGATACAATCAGTCTTGCCATATGTTCCGACGGGTTCTGACCTCTGAACGCTTTCATGTTCAGATCCTGATAGAGAAATTTCTAAGGATGATGTGGATAGTGTTGCAGGCAAGGCACGCTGTCGTCGTGGGAATCAGAACGTGGGGGGGGGGGTGGGTGGGCGGCGTGCTCGACCGTAAAGGAGGGGATCAGGAGATAAGAACAAAGCCCATTCAATACTGATATGTGGCAAATTAGTGGCTGATAAAAGATTTATCCATGGTTTTTGTTGAGGAAGAAACGGAGATACATCTGGAGATAGAGGCAAGAAGACGCGAACTGCGAGCTCAGAAGCGGGAGCTGCAATGACAAGGAATACGGTAGACGTCCCACGACGGAGTCATTAGTTAATAAATAAACGAAGCACGGTATACGCTGGGATCTTTCATAGCCGAAGGAGCGCACCTGATTGCCCGGAAGACCCTTACCAAGAGCTTTTCACATTTACATTGCGTGAGTCGGATGCATGGCCCAATACAGGGATGTCAGTCGGCGCCGAGCAAGCTACTTTCTAATGTCTTCCACAGAAAAATTTGTTTTAGGAGTCCATTGATGCCTTCAAGCAAACTAGCTATGATACTGCGCAGGAGGTGTGGATGTTTCGTGTCGTTTGGCTTGTCACAACGAAACCACGAAGGAAACTTTTCCCTCAGGGTGCATGAGGAGAAAGCGAGGGGATTTCAGAAAAGAGGAGTCTTTTGAATGTGGCGCTGCTTTTGTCTTCGTAACTGGTCACACGAAGAAAGTTATGGCTGTCCGAAGTGTCACAACGGTTGAACACGCTGAGGCAAGCAGAGAAGCCTTGTTTTGTGTACTCCTACCGTTTCTTTGACTTCCTCCACGAGTGGACACAAGAGCACCTACTCCTTTGCTTATGGACTCCTCACCTGAGAATTACTATCGCGGACTACAGGGGGGGGGGGGCAAAAAAAGTCACTTTGACCGAGTCACATATCAGCAAAGTTTTCGCTGCCCAGACAGAGGACGTGGATACGAGTACCAGACAGAGGACGTGGATACGAGTACCAGGGCGGAAGATACCCAAGATGTTCCTCTATAAGCAGGAGCTGGCTCTCGCCCATCACATGTACACCAAAATATGAAGTCATCTCCAGTCGCAGCCTGACTGGAGAAGACCTTTGGAATTCATGTCACCTCCAAACAGCTGCGAAACTTCTAGTATGGAGTCACCCATGGATAGCTACCTGGAGACCAGTACTCTCGATCTGGATGACCTCCAACATCGAGCAGCTCCGACAACGTCGCCACGGTCTAGGACATCATCTTCACCACAGTCGCCAAGGCGCGGGTTGATGGTATGGACCGGACGTACCTGGAATGGAAAGACCAATATTTTCTTCGTGGACCCCGGACTGAAGGTGAGCGCTGGCGGTTACATTGAGCAACTCGTGAAGAATATCCTCCTCACATGTCTACGGTGGCGGAGAAATCGACTATCTCGCTGATCTCAGGCACCACATCGCGGTCGCGTGCCAGAATCTCTCGATGGCGCTCGTCCAGAAGGCTGTGGCGGAGTGTCATGATAGTATTTAATATGCTCTTTAATATGGTGGTAAAAAATGTCCGATCAGAATTTAATAAAGTGTAA